GAATTATCTTGAGGCTTTTACGCAAAGGATTGTCATAAGATTCCCAAATGCCTAGGATTTTGTTGATAATGAAACGACGCAAATGGTGGAAAGATTTCCAGAACTTATTCCAACAGAAGTTTGTTGGTAATAGAGTCAACATCAGCTTCATTTGCTATTCTCCTAAGCTGATTTTTTTAACGAATAACATTGTTTGATCTCATGCAAATTCAAGTCGAATTCAACATCAGAGATTGATCCATCTTTCATTCCTTTTGAAAACAACCTGTTGACTGAAAGGTGCTTTGCCTTAGCATTTAAAATTGTTTGCTTGTGCTTCGTGATTTTCGAATTAAGCTTTTTGCTCTTGACAATAAGTGCTATTGATATGGAACCAAACCAAGCGGCGAGACCTGCTAAAGGCGGTCCTGCAATTATCCCAATTCCACTCAGAGCAGCTGCCAGCACCGCTTGGTGACAAAACGGCAGCAATGACACCAGTTGTTTCACCACTACTTTCCAATTTCGGACACTAGTGTCCAAAATCGGTCACTAGTCTAAAATCAGATACTAGTGTCTAAATCAACACCAGACAGAGAGAAAAAATAAATTTTACTCATTTATAAGGAGAGAAGAATCTAGTTTTAGCTAATACTCTTTATTGTCAATCAACTCAGCATTCCGTTCCATTCTTTTCTTTTTTCAGTTTTAATGACTGAATTTATTATTCATTAAATTGAAATAAAAGTTTTGTGCTATAAACAAAGCCTCTGCATATATAATGAGGTTAATCTTCATCTTGATTTTCTGATGGGCTTCATTACTTTGTTACTGCTGCAAGTGAAATTTCAGACTATCAGTCTATACCATTCTTCAAGATTGAAATGAAAATTCTCCTTGGGATGGAACATCGATCTTGCGCTGACTAAGTATTTAGTAAAGTAAATTTATTTGAGGCGGAGGGGTGGGGGTGGGGGGTGGAAGCGGACGGCGTAAAGATTCTCCTTGTTTCGTTGCAGAAACTATCGTTAGTGCAACTTGAAATTGTTCTGGCAAATTTTTCCTTAAAATCTCTGCCGTTTAATATGTTTTCATGGATGAAAATTTACACCAAGTTTGAGCTTTACCCTGGATTCACCCTGACTTCCTTCCGAACACATTGTTCCTGGAGTCGGGGTTTTGCCTCCTTTTTTCACAACAGCATTTTTATTCCGTGTTAACCACCATTGTAGTATATTACTTGATTCTAGCCACTGTTACAGTTTTTCTCAAACAGTTACTCAACTCGTGTTTGTTTCAAATTACTCAAATTAAGAGCAAGTGTCAGCATCATAAACAAAAACAATCAGAACAAATAAACAAAGAGAGAAAAGACGGCGGCAACGACGTGATCAAGGAAGTAAATATAGCACCCAAGGCATCTTTGATAGCAGGCATGATTCTTACGACCCTTCAATAGACCACTACTTTTTTTTTAAAAAGATGTCTATCTATCTATATCTATATGATAAGCTGAATTAAACACGCATTTGATTGGCTGTTGCTTATGAGCTATTGGAAGACAGACGCAAGGATGACGTCACCATTAACAAAATTTTCTTTTTTAATTGTATAAAACAAATAGATTGCATGTTGCCGTGTGTCTGTACAGTAATAGATCACAGAAGCGTCTAGAACATCAATGAAACGCCCGGCTGCATCTCATATGCTTCATTTTGGTTCTCACTACATTTTGATGTCATCTGTGATCCATCATAGAACAGACGCACAGCAAAAAGGTATCTATTTCTTTAAAAGCAACAGCTCAAAATACTGTGACGTAGCTTGAAAACACTCACCTCAACCGCAGCGTTCACATGACTTAGGACAATAAATGTCCATAAAATCTGCATGTTCCCAACACATGTGCTCTGTTGCTTTCCTTTCACAAAAGCTTGTGTAGAGAGGATGGTCCACACATTCTGAAAATAACACATTGGAAAAAATAAACCGAACGAGTATATTTACAAATATACTGCGCAATCTTAAGGAGTAACGTGTAAGCGGGAATGTTATCAGAGAATCAGTAGATTGTTGTAGTACTCTACCGGCATTTTTTGGGATTAGAACCTAGCAAGTCCCAAAGACGCAATATGCCCGACATAGATGAAGTGCTGCTTGACTAATTACGTAGACTGGTTGATGACGAAAGAGTGACTTGTACCTCTGGGTACAAGAGTGCTGCATAATTAATGGCGGAGAATAACAACAATGACGAAAGAGTGACTTGTATCTCTGGGTACAAGAGTGCTGTATGACTTATGGCAGAGAATAACATATTTAACCATATTTATATTTTCTGTTATCCTTACGTTAGATTTATGCAGGGCCTCACTGAAAACCACACTTTGTGACGTGGGCTCCCTGTCAAAAGATCTTATTTATTATTATTATTATTATTATATAACAACAACGACGAAAGAGTGACTTATACCCCAGATGTTTCCAGCTTCTATTGGAGCTAAAAGAAACAAAGACAGAAAAAAAAAAACAACAATTAAAAGTCAAACACGATATTATCGTTTTATGTGATGCTCTGAAAGAAAAATCAGTTTTGGTGAAGGATGATGAGAGGAGGGAGAAGCTTCGAAAGAAGACCGGTAAGGGGAATTAATTTTCAGACCTTATTCTCCTCCTTTGTAAAAACTTCACAAGTTGATACTTACGCACGCAAGGCTTTCGATAAATTTCGGTCATTATACCCTGCAGATATCCTTCAATATCTTTCACATCCACAACATCGTTAGCACTTCCTGTCATTAGCCTCAATCTATTTTTCGCCATACCAGTTCCAATCCCCA